CACGACAGTTTCACTGTGCGGAGCTGAAACTTGATGAACTACTACAACCATCATCAAGAAGGTGCAACTATTCATAAATAGTTGTCTACGCAAGATACTCAACACCCATTGACCGGACGCCATCAATAACAGTCTACGGGGGGAGAGAACAAACCAGCTTCCAGCTGAGGTGGAAATTAGGCAAAGACGGTGGAAATGGATTCAGATTCAGATTTGTGTAGTAAGGACAGAAGGCCTACGGACTATGTTATTCCTTTTCTAGTATGCTTCTGTGAGTGTTCAGTCTTCTCTTGAAAGAGTCAATTGAAGGTGCGGACACCACTGCTTCAGGTAGCAGGTTCCAAGTATTGATGACTCGGTGTGAAAACCTGTATGCCATGGGTATTTTGTTCGTTCTCGGCTTTTCTACTCCCCTGCTATGTCCTCCGAGGTGTCCCGATCTAGTGGGAAGAAAGAGAGAGAATAAGTTAGGTCCAAAATCATTTCTCAGTATTCTGTACATCAAAATTAGATTTCCCCTTAGTCTGCGATAGAACAGAGTAAAGAGGTCCAGTTTTTCAGTCCGCTCTTTGTAAGATAAACCTCGGGGTTCCGGAATTGCACTGGTAGCTGCCCTCTGTGCTTTTTCTGGTATGTCCGATTCACCTTTTAAACAGGGGCTTGCAGCCTGAACGCAGTTCTCTAGCTTAGTTCTCACTAAGGATGTGTATACTGTGGTGAACATGGTAGTATCTAACTTAGTGAATGTCCTTTTTAAAGCCCAGAGGGTTCGAAACCCCTTGGCTGCGACCTCCCGGCAATGGGCCGTCGTCTTAAGATCATTACTCACTGTCACCCCTAGATCCTTATGAGACCGGACTACGGGTAATGACACATCTATGTTGTACGTATTAACCTTTGAATCCCCCAAGTGCATGTAGACACACTTTTCCGAGTTGATAGGCATTAGCCACTCTTTAGACCAGTTTATCATATTATTTAAGTCTGCCTGAAGAGTAAATGCGTCTTTGTCTCCAGTTATTACTCGCCAAATTTTTACATCGTCAGCGTATAATAACATTGGAGACTGTACTATACTTGTAAGATCATTAACGTACATTATAAAAAGTAAAGGACCTAGGACGGAACCTTGGGGTACTCCACTAAGTACTGGTCTCCAGATGGAGCACTTGGAATTTATTCTTACTTTTTGCCTACGACCTACTAGGAAATCCTTAATCCATTTTAAAAGAGGTCCGGCAATACCAAGGTTTTCCAACTTCAATAGCAGTCTATTAGTTGGCACCTTGTCAAAAGCCTTACTGAAGTCTATGTAGACAACATCCACTGAGTTTCCGTTGTCTAGCGCATTAATCCAGAGCTCCCTAGCTATAAGGAGGTTCGTTGTACAGGATAGACCCTTTCTAAAACCATGTTGTGCCATGTTCAGCAAGTTATTGGTTTCCATAAATGCTGTTATGGTCCGTTTGATTATTCTTTCCAGTATTTTAATTACAACACTGGTGAGGCTTACGGGTCTGTAATTTGATGGAACTTGTCGTAGACCTGTTTTATGTATGGGAGTGACGATTGCGTCCTTCCAGTCCATAGGTAACACACCTTGGTCAAGTGACATTTTGAATATCACAGTCAGTGGGGCTGCGATATATTGGGCAATATGTCTCAAGATTTTAGGGTGTAGTTCATCTGGTCCTGTTGACTTCTCCATGTTTAGGGTGCTAAGAGCCTTAAGCACATCGTTTTGGTCGAAGTCCACGGTGAGCAGCTGGTTTGTTGACTCTGTATTTGGGTCTGGTTCTTTCTCTAGAGGAGGTTCCTGAGTGAAAACTGCCCCAAAATAGTCAGCCATAGCCTCTGCTTTTTCCTGATCTTCCTCTATCATTTCAGATTCACTTCCTACTTTAATTAGGTTGGGAATCCAATGATGCATCCTTGTTCTGTAGTTTATGTACGAGAATATCCTCTTGGGCTGCTTGAGTGCAGATTGTGCCAGCTGCATTTCATATTTTCTTTGCGCTTCCCGAATTTTAGTTATACACTCGTTTCTTATCGATCTGTAGCGTTCCATCGTACCTGCTGTGCCAAGGCGGATGGCAACATCCCAGCATTTCTTCTTTTGTCTTAGTAAGCGTCGAATATCCCGCCCTATCCAGGGATGTCCGTGCTTCTTTTTCTTTGGGACAGTCCAGGGTATGTATGGTTGAGTTACCCGATTGTATAACTGCCTGAATAGAGTCCAGGCCTTTGAGTCAATTTCCCAGTTCTCAGCCGATGCTGCGGAGTTAATTGCCTGCATATCTGCCTTCCATATGTTAGGACGGGCCGGCGCAACTTTTGACAGGCAATCTCAGCCATGAATTTGAATAAGATGACTGCATGGTCACTTTTCCCAAGTGGTGGGAGAAAAGCCATTTGACCAACGTCATCACCGTGTGTGAAGACTAAATCTAAAAGAGAGGAAGAGTTTCTTAAGTCGTATCTTGTGGGATCTCTAATGTGTTGGAATAATGCTAGTCCAATCGAGGTTTCTAACAGTTTGCAGTCGAACGACGATATCGATGACCCTACTTCTAAGTTAACCCAGTTTATATATGGTGCATTAAAGTCGCCTACTACAAGGCTTTTACCGTTGTTACACCAGGACTTAAGTTTACTTAGGATAAAATCATCTGCTACACATTCTGGACTGCGATATACTACAACTACTTCAATATCTTGCCGTCGGCATTTCAACTTACATCTCACCAGTTCACATGTCCCTGAAACATGTGCTACTGTCTCAGCTAATCTTATGGTTAGGGTACTTTTCGTGTACAGAATAACCCGACTCCCCTTCGGTTTAATCTATCAGCCCTACTGGTTATGAAACCAGTCAACTGGATTTCACTATCTAATACTTCTGACGTTAACCAAGTTTCCGAGACAGCAATAACGTCCGGTTTTTCTTTATCCACCACTGACTTGAACTCCGCGATTTTATTTTGTAGGCTGCGAGCATTTGTGTAGCATACCTTTAAGTTTGTGGAGAGCTTTCTCTTGCCACCCAGAGTGGCTTGGGGATGGGGGATGGGGCATATATTCCGCAAGTCATCAACCTGCATCGCGAGGCAAGCCATAACTTGGAATCCTGAAGGAAGCGGAAAAGAGGAGGGAGAAAGGATATATTACGTCGGGAAATGGAGTCAGATATGAACAGGATGAAAACAACTGGAGAGATCTGGGAAGGCTTACTCAGAACAGGGTTGGATGGAGAGTGCTAGTGAGCGGCCTAAGCTCGTCCATGAGGAGTAACAGACGTAAGTAAGTAAGTACGTTTGCGGCACACCAAGTGAGCGCTCAGGTTCACTTTGGAAAGTCCCGTGCAGTTGCAGATGAAGCTTTCATCAATATAGTCTATGTGGGTATGTTGAAATGTCCGAGAGTATTTTTCAGCTAGGAGGTTAGAGACGTCACCGTCTATATTTGTCGGGCCATTAGGACATAACAGTTGGGAAACTCCAGTTTTGACCTGTCGAAAAGAGGCTGCATAACGGAATATGCTTTCGGACTGGAGACAACTTTATCAATAAGCTTTATCTGGTACTGAAGCCTATCTACTCTTATCGCCTTTGTGTATATGTTCCCTATTTTTTGTATTGCCTGTATGAGCCGTTGTTATCAGTTGGTTTGTACTCCGCCCAACGGTGCCTTTTGCAGCTTACCAAACGAAGAGTGTGCTTCGCGATGACTGTAGGATGCTTGTAGTTTTTGGATACCCTCTGAGAGGAAGACTGCTTTGTAGTACATAAGGTCGTGTACGCCCGTTGTTACCAGGCGGCAAACATCACTTTTAAAAACTCGTTTTACACGAGCTTTTTTTAATCTCTTAGGTAAATGGCAAGTAAAAACAGGAATATATGCAAAAATTATATTTCTGAGTCTCATACTACGTACGAAAGGCAGATAATATGTGACATCAAGGACTACCCTGCCTCAAAAAGGAGGACCAAATAGATTTACACCAGCAAATAAGAAGTAATGCTGAGTCTAATGTACGATATACAAATTCCAAGGTCTTTTAATGGTAACTAAATCCCCAAAATGGGTAGTTCGGCGAGTCTTTCACGTTGATGTGGATTTCATTAGTTTAACTGCACACATACCAGCTCAAGGTGCTAGGTCATGCACCTGCACCAGGTCACTAGTGAGTATGGAGTCCTACACACCCATCATAACAACTGGACAGTTTAGACTAAACGCTTCTCAACATATCACTGGTTTTCCAAATATGTTTTCGACCTCCTTCACCTCCGACTTCTGATTGGACTGCATTTTATCCTTCGGCTATAAAGGTGTTTCAGACGAAAGTGCTTTCCATTAGTGAACATCCGTGACATGCTTCTCTCCAAAACCTACTCTATTATTTAGATATGAACTGGTGCTTGAAAACTGAAGACCATGAACGAACGTAAGTGTAATATACTGCAATCATAAATAAAGGGTGAATTAGTGTATAAGACAGTCATCATCTCACATAAACCTCACACAGAAATAACTCCAAGTTGTATAGGAACCCAAGCATATTGGCAACGTCCTCAATGATTATTTCGCTATACCTAGTATTTTCACTTCCTCGGTGGACATGAGCTACTTAGCTCAAATATAATAAAAGTTAGAGATCAAAAAGTATCTGCTAGATGAACAGGAAATGACTGAAATTTATGGGCACAACACACCTGGTGAACATTAGAAATGATGTAGAAAACTTCAGCTTAAGGTCGTTGGGTCGGGTAGATTATACAGCTACACAAAAGAAACAGCCGGGGGGGGCAGAACGAGGAAATCCGACCTCCATTGCTTACAAAGATAGTGGATATAATAGTTCCCGCTTCATTCTGGTTGATTACCAAGCAGACTGCCACGATAACGAAATTGATTTGAGTTTAACTGCAGTCCATTGAACTCAAACCAAACTTATCATTGTCTTGATTTGACCACTTCTGCAAACCACTACTAATTGTCGAGGTGACGCGCCAATCGGTTTATGACAGTCTGACCTTCAAGTGCTCAGTAACCTTGGTCAAAGGAGGGTGCCACCGGGTCGTTGCCTCTTTACGACCATACTACGTACTTCTCCAGATTGTGTTAATGTTAGGTTTGTGTTAATGCTTATTTTCCGACCCCATCCATAAATAAATATGCATATATTGTGTGCTCTTCCTTAGTCGTTGGCTCATCTTTTTATCTTCCTCCTTTCCACCCAATCTCCTATTTTGGGGGAAAATTCCTACAGTTTGGGTAACTTTTGAGGAAACTGCTATATAAAAATTTGGAGAAACGGCACAAAAACCCCAAATATTCCCCAAGCTGGGGAAAACAACCATATTTCTCATGACTTCTGGAAAACCCCAAAATAAGAAGATTGGATAGTTTTCACTACGAACGCTACTCTGCACTCTCTCCTAATAACCAAATTACATTCAGGATAAAAGCAAACAACCTTATTATTTTCCTAGCTAGGCTAGGTGTCAGTCAGTTAGCTACAAAGTAGGACCAGGCACATATATCCATCGGTCTAAGTTACCATGCCTCATTAGCACAATAAGATAATATAATACGTTAGGGATCACTTTCGTATACAATCAACCATATCGGAGGCTCATATCAGTGGCACATGTGAGGTTGCATGTTGTAAGATTAAATCTAGAAATGGGTTAGTGACTATGGGGAGAATATACCGTAGTCCGTCTTGTCTTGCTGACGACTTTATCCTAAGACACATCTGTTCTTGGAGTATGGCAGAATGTTGTCTCATCATTGGGAACTTCAACGCACCGCATATCAACTGGATAGAGTTTACAGCTCCAGCTAGTGGTTTCGATAGCGACCTTTTATCTACCGTTATTCAGTGTGCACTTGTACAATGTGTCACAAAACCGACACATTGATTCCAATCATGATCCGTCACTGCTGGACCTCGCCCTCACTCACCACTGTGAGGATGTCTTTGATATTCAGCACCTTCCCCCACTAGCGAACAGTGATCACGTTGTAATTCACTTTAAGTTGAGGACACATGGTACACAATTCGTATCTGCTCCACCTCGTCCCAATATCTGGCGAGCCAATATTCCGGCAATCAGAAACTGTGCTATCTCGATTGATTGGTCGGTCGACGCGGATGGATTGATCGAAGATGAATGGAATAAGTTTAAGGCTACATTCGAGTCCGTAACGTTGCCGTTTATCCCATGATCAGCACGTAGGCTATCACATTGCCCTCCATGGATTAATAAGGAAACCCGGAAGCTGTTAAAGCGTAGGAAACATTTCTGGGACTTATTCTTGTTGACAGGTCATGCACCATTTAAGCGTGAGTACCAAAAATTCCGTAATATCTAAGAAAACCATAGCCAAATCCCGTACCACTTACGAACGACAGTTAGTATATGATAGCCGTACTTGTTCGAAAAGATTGTTTTCGTATGTTAAACGGCGAACGAAACGTGGTGATGGTATTCCCCTGTTACTGTTACACGAAAATTCAGATTTACTAGCTGAATCAGATCGAGCAAAAGCTGAGACTTTTTCAAACTATTTTAGCGAAGTCTACTCTACGTTTATTGTAACAAATACTTGTCCCACTCACACCGAGATACCAGCCATTGGATCTGTACAGGTGACTGAGGAAACTGTCTTTCCGTTGATAACTAACCTCAAACCTGGTAAGATACCTGTCCCTGACGGGTTACATCCATGGTTGCTGTCATCTCTTGCGGACATTATTTCAAAACCGCTCGTGACACTCCTCAACATGTTCCTTTCACTCGCTCAACTCCCTAGAGATTGGAAGGATGCTATAGTCAGTCCTATATTTAAGGACGGTCAGAGACAGATAGTATCTAACTACCGGCCTGTCAGTCTAACTAGCATAGTCGTTAAGTAACTTGAAAAGATAATTCGGGTTAGGTTGCTAAGCCACATAGATTTACACAATCTGTTAGCTCCTGAGCAACACGGATTTTGTAACAAGCGTTCATGCTTGACTAACTTGCTTATTGCGAGGGAGGATTGGACAGCAGCCCTAGATAACGGTCTGTCTGTCGATGTGATATTCATAGATTTTAGCAAAGCATTTGACAAGGTTTCACACGTAGGTCTTATGCAGAAGCTCACGAGCTTCGGAATAATAGGTACTGTACATGAGTGGATAGGAAATTTCTTATGTTACCGCAGACAGAGAGTGAGGGTCAACGGAACGCTATTTGATCGGAAGCCAGTCAAAAGTGGTGTACCCCAAGGCACCATTTTAGGCCCTCTGCTCTTCCTTCTCTACGTTGGTGTGTTACTGATGTTGCTTAGATCGTCGACATTATTGTTTGCGGATGATGTAAAAATCTGGAGAACAATAAAAAGTGCGGCTGATCATCTGGATCTTCAAGCTGATTTAGACGATTTAGTTAGATGGGCTTGAGGTTGGGGTTTAGAAATCAATGTTAGGAAGAGTGTGTTAATGCACATCGGTCACGGTACTATTGAGAGTAAACCCCTTCCATGCGTTCAAGAGCATAAAGACTTAGGAGTAGTATTAAGTCATGATTTAAAAACAACTACGCATTGCAAAGCAGCCGTTATCAAAGGTTTTCGTGCGTTATGGTCACTTCGTCGAGCGTTCAAATCTTTTGACGAGGAAACGTTTCGAATTTTATATCCCATATATGTTAGACCACATTTAGAGTACTATATCCAAGCAGCTAACCCATGTCTGGTAAAGGATACTAACTCCCTTCAGCGTGTGGGAACGAAATTAGTGAAGGGTCTTTCTAGACTCCCTTACGATGAGCGTTTAAAACGTCTAAATCTTTTCCCCTTGTCGTATCGTAGGACACGAGGTGACCTTATACTGGCGTTTCATATCTTTAATTATGATTTGGGTGTTAATATGTCTTATCTTTTTGCTCCCTCCAGCACTAATGATCTCCGAGTTCATAACAAGAAGGTTCATAAACCACGATCTAATAAACTTAAAGTGGGGTCTTGTTTTTCTAATCGAGTAGTCAATGATTGGAACGCCTTACCCGAACAAGTGGTATCAGCCCCATCAGTGAATACTTTCAAGGAGAAGCTGGACCTTCACTGGGAAGCAATGTGTCAGGATTAATACAGGTTCACCAACCTACTATCCTTATTACTGAAGACTGATAAACACCAAATTCATAGTAGTTGCTTCAATGGTAGTAATATATAAAAGAAAGGTTGCATATAAGGATATATTACAGGAAGAAAGAATTAGTTGGTAGAAAGAAGGATATAGAGCGATTTTAATCTCATAGTTTAAGGGAAGACAGAGAGTGTATACACCTACGCCATTGTGATCGATTCTGAGCCATGTCACCCAGAGTGTCCAACAATTGGTTACGATAGTCGCGCGTACCCCAACCAAGTAGTCTGCATCTCCCAACATGTCTCAGACTAGAAGTTAGTGACTTCAAGCACTGATGCCACGTTTTGGTTTGGCCGCCCCTAACTTTCTTCCAACCATTTCCAACACCGGTTAGCATTACACGTCGTGGTAATCGGTGTTCGGGCATACGTAACACGTGGCCCAACCATCTCAGTCGATGAAGATTGACAGCCTCATCAACTGATTTACCACCATTCCCTAATACCCTACTTCTAACCTCACTATTACTTACCCGATGATCTCAGCAGATGCCAGCAATATCTCTAAGGCATCTGTGGTCAAATACTAGTAGCCTACGAGTATATTCTGCTCTTAGTGGCCACGTTTCGCAGACGTAAAGTAGAACAGAACGAACTGCCGCACAGTATACTCGTCCCTTAATTGATGGACGGATATCTCGCCTTCTCTATAGGTGACGTAAGTTGGCCAAACGAGCTTCCCGAGCCCGTACAGAGATTTCGTCAGACACCAACCCATTAGGGCTGATCAGACTTCCAAGATAAGTGAAGTTGTAGACACTTGACTTCTTAATTCCAGTTCCCTTTATTAGTCTGAAAAGCTATCCGATGTTAATTACAGCCTCTGCCTTCCCCATCTCTTTTGCTTTCGTTGCTCACGGTCGTTCCTTAGACTTTTGGTTAACGTAGATCTGATTTATTCTCACTCTTCTTCATGTTTAGAGCACGATGGGATAAGTTTACGAGAGTCTATCACTGCAAAAGATTTAGTAGAAATCCATTGGTTTTTCGTAACCCTTTGGTTTAAATCACTAGTAAATGTCGCTACTCTTTCCACGACTATTCGTATATCATTCCAAGTAACATCTGGATCACCGTCGTTTTCAGAACTGCTTAAATGTGCCCTTAGTTGTTCATGATGTCGACTTTTGGCTAGGTGTACTTACGAGCCTAACTGTAAGGTAATCCAAGCAACCGAAAAACGGGGAATAAATTTACTGTGTCAGAAAATAAGCGGAAATAATGGAGAAACGTCCCTAAAGTCTCCTTTTACACCAACTATAAGGGAATAATTTGAAAAATCCCCTTTTTATCGCTTTAGGCTCGTAATGTGGTCAAGTCGTCTACTTTCCTTCCTTACTTACGCCTTTTACTCCCAATGGGGCATATGCCGCCGACCAACATTCTGCAACCCACTCTGTCCTGGGTCCTCCTTTCTAGTTCTATCCAATTGTTGTCCAGTCTTCTCATGTCTGTCTCCATTTCTCGGAGTAATGTATTGTTTGGTCTTCCTCTTCTCCTTTGACCTCAAGGATTTCAAATAAGGACTTGCCTTGTGATGCAGTTGGGTGTTGTCTACTTTCCGCATACCCCCGAATGCCCGACGTCAAGGAAAAAATAAAAATTTCCCCTTTATTAGTTGCTTGGGTCTTATGACAATTTTAATAGAATATTGGTTATCCTGATGACTTATTTGTTCTAAATATTTGGCACAAGGAAAATTGTCTGTTGGACAACACACTTTAGGGATTAGTTCAACAGGCCCTCAGCCACATTTGTCACTCATCATCTTTAAGCGACCTGAGTGCTGAGTTTAAATAGGCTCTCCAACTCTTAGTTGAAAAGGTGTGTGGGCCAGGAAAATAGTGATTGATTGTCTATTTAGTCTGACAGGTATTACGAATGTTGTATATTTTCCTACCCTTGTTATTACTATTTATTTATTTTTATGTGAACACATACATATTGGTACAAGAGTGCGCCAAATATATATGCGCCACACAAAACGATGAGAATTTAAAGAGAATGAAAAGGAAAAAAAGGTTAGGAGGGTAAAAAAAAAGAACAATAGGGAAGAGATTGGTGTAAGGTAGTGTAATAATAATAGTGGTAATAATGGAGGAACGGAAAGGTACAATCAGAAGAAATCCTTCAGTTAAGGAAGATACAACCATTTTTTTATGAAGAAAGTAAAAGAAGGTTACAGCAGGATCGCCACTGGCTTCTATTCTGAGCCATATCTAATAACGTCTCTAGCCACTGTGTTGCGCTATCTCTCGGATCCCAGCCAGGGAGTCGTGAAGGACCAACACAAGCCAGTCCTGTACAGCTTTCTTTCATACCACAACACCATGTCATATACTGACCACCTCTCCGCTTCTTCCAACCAGTCCCAGAGTCGGCAAATAATGCACGACGTGGAATTCTCTGGGACGACATTCGTAGAACATGTCCAAGCCACCGAAGTCGGTGTTTCAAGATGGTAACACCAATTGAATTATCGTCTCTGTGACCGAACACACGATGCCGAACCTCTGCATTACTAACATGGTGTTGCCACTGAATGTCAGCAATCCTTCGGAGACAGCGATGATCGAACACAGAGAGTCGTCTAACGTCCTCAACTCGGAGAGGCCAGGTTTCACAAGCATAGAGCAAGACTGCTCTCACCGACGCGTTGTAGATCCGACCTTTTACAGCTAGACAGACATCAACAAGGCGCCAAAGATGGCCCAGATTGGCATGAGCCGCTCTGGCTTTCACTATGCGTGCATTGATCTCATCACTCACACCCCCACCAGCACTTATGCAGCTACCTAGATACACGAACTTCTCGACTACTTCTATCTGCTCACCATCCAGGGTGAGTACAGGATTAGAATCCTGCCAGTCTTGTAGAAGTACTTTGCACTTCGAAGGTGCAAAGCTCATACCATACCTACGGACACTGATTGCCAACTGATTAAGTGCGGATTGCATGGCTTGGGCACTATCGCACAGTAAGACAATATCATCCGCATACTCAAGGTCGAGAAGTCTTTCTCCAGGCAACAGATCCACACCGCCATTACTTACATCCATGAGAGCTGTTCCCAGAATGTCATCGATGGCAAAGTTGAGGAGGAATGGTGAGATTGGGCAACCCTCTGTAACCCCACTGCTCGTATGGAACAATGGAGAAAGATGGTTGTATGTCCTCACTCTGCCTAAGGTGTTTGTATATAGGGCTTTTAGGATGTTAATAAACCTCTCAGACACACCCTTCTTCAATAGACTCCCAGAGAACAGTCCTGTCCAACGAATCGAAGGCAGCCCTGATGTCAAGAAACACTATGATTGTTGGCCTTTGATAAGTATGACGGTGTTCTAACATTTGGCGGAGGGTAAAGATATGATCAATACATCCTCGACCAAAACGAAACCCAGCCTGCTCCTCGCGAGTCAATCTTTCTCGGGTTTTGAACAACCTACGAAGAATGACGGAAGCCAATAGCTTGGAACATCGGCGATGACTGTGCCGAAAGTTAGTGCTAGCCAGAAACAGGTTGTGGTCTGTACACAGTTGCGGTAAACGGTCCCCGTTATCTGTCCTGCGACCAACAAGTCCCCATCGGCCACCTAAACCATTCTCTTCTGTGCCTAGACGCCCGACCTGAGCATTCAAGTCTCCGGCTACTACCACAATATCTGTCGAACTCACTTTCTGTAGAAGAACAGATATCTGGTGGTAAAACTCATCCGGACTGCAATCTGTCGGGGCATAGGCGGAGATGACGAAGAGACATCGTTTCTCACGCCGATTTCTTCTCACTTTGATGGAACTTTCTAGTCTAACAGTACATAACCGACTGTTAATGGGGATCCAATCGATTAGTGCTGCCTCAGCTCTAGCGCTTAGTGCGACACCAACGCCAGCAAGACCAGACGAAGATGCCACAGGGTCCCCGGATAAACGCACGTAAAACAAGCTTTTCGAAGCGACAGATGAAGAGCGAGTTTGTAGTACTTCACCAGAGTCTTGAATACGGGTCTCGGATAGACAGCAAACATCGATATTAAGACTTTCCAAAGACATAGCCAGCCCTATCTGTTGTCCAACCTGCATAAGTGTGCGAACGTTGAAGACAGACAGTTTGAATGGTGCACGTGGTTTCAGAAAAACTGCTTCAGTACTCATATTCAGTGGTAACGTACAATTTTCAACCGAACAGTCAGCTACAACGTAGGACCAGGCACATGTATGCATCGGCCCAGGTTGCCATACCTCATTAGCACAGCAAGATGAACACCGGATTCATAGGAGTGGTTAGGTCAAAGGTGGTAATATATAGGAGAAAGATTGCAATAAGGATATAGTATAGGAAGAAAGAATTAGTTCGTAGAAAGAAAGATGTGAAGTGATCTTAATCTCTTAGTTTAAGAGAAGACAGAGAGTGTATACACCGACGCCATTGTGATCGATTCTGAGCCATGTCACCAAGGGTCTCCAACCATTGGTTACGAAAGTCACGCGGACCCCAACCAAGTAGTCTGCATCTACCAACATGGCTCAGACTAGAAGTTAGTGACTTCAGGCACTGATGCCACGTTTTGGTTTGGCCGCCCCTAACTTTCTTCCAACCATCCCCTACACCGGTTAGCATTGCACGTCGTGGTAATCGGTGTTCAGGCATACGTAACACGTGGCCCAACCATCTCAGTCGATGAAGATTCATAACCTCATCAACTGATTTACCATCATTCCCTAATACCCTGCGTCTAACCTCACTATTACTTACCCGGTGATCCCAGCAGATGCCAGCAATATTTCTAAGGCATCTGTGGTCAAATACTAGTAGCTTACGGGTGTCTTCTACTCTTAAGGGCCATGTTTCGCTGCCGTAAATTAAAACAGAACGGACTGCCGCGCAGTATACTCGTCCTTTTATTGATAGACGGATATCTCGCCTCCGCCAAAGGTGACGTAAGTTGGCAAAAGCCAAACGAGCTTTACGAATCCGTGCTGAGATTTCGTCAGACACCAACCCATTAGGGCTGATCAGACTTCCAAGATAAGTGAAGTTGTCAACGCGTTCGACTACTTCACTCCCTATCCTTAGTTCAGGTGTTGACGCAGACCAGTCCTGAAGCAACAACTTGCATTTAGAGGGAGAGAAGCGCATCCCAAACATTCTGGCATTGTTGCTTAGTGCTACCAGAAGACTCTGCATTTTGTCAGCGTCTTCACCAAACAGGACTATGTCATCTGCATATTCTAAGTCGATAAGTGGACCTCCTGGAAGGAGATCAATACCCGAGAATTCAGTCGACGAGAGTGTTATTTCCATCAATAGGTCTATGATGAAGTTAAACAAAAATGGAGAAAGTGGGCAGCCTTGACGGACACCACTTGAGGTTGCAAAAGTAGATGACAGTTCGCCATAAGCCCTGACTCGACTAGTAGTGTTCGAGTAAAGAGCCTTCACAAGGTTTATGTACTTCTGAGGTACGCCTTTCAATGACAGACACTGCCACAGAGTCTCGCGGTCTACAGAGTCAAATGCTGCTTTTAAGTCAAGAAAGACCACCATCGTCGGACGCCGATAGGTATGCCTGTGTTCTAGAACCTGACGAATGGTGAATATGTGGTCGATGCAGCCACGACCAGGTCTAAAGCCAGCTTGGTTCTCTCGTGTTTGTAGTTCACGAGTCTTAGTTAGGCGTTTGATAATTATCGAGGCCAGTATTTTAGATACTATGTTTGTTAAACTAATCCCTCTGTGGTTGTCACAGGATGATTTTGACCCTTTCTTATATATTGGGACGATAAGTGATTGCGACCAGTCAGATGGGATAACGTCTAACTCCCAGATCTTAGCTAAAATATTAGTCAACCTAATCGCTAAAATTGGACCACCATCCTTAAAGACTTCTGGAGCCAGTCCATCTGGACCAGCTGCCCTTCCTCGTTTCAGATTAACTATAGCCTTCTCAACTTCAGCAAGAGTTGGGGGACCTACTTCAATGTTCCATTCACACTGTCTGGGAATGGAGGGTAGTTGTAGAGTAGCTGAAGGCCAGCTGAACTGTTCTCTAAAATGTTCCGCCCATCGTTCTAAACGTCTGGACTGGGAGCAGATGAGAGTATCATCTTTTTCCGAAATAATCTCACTTACACTTGACTTATTAGTTCCAGTTTCTTTTATTAGTCTGTAAAGCTGTCTTGTGTTCCCTATAGTCGCCGCCTTTTCCATCTCTTTTGCTTTCGTTACCCACCACTGCTCACGGTCGTTCCTTAGACTTTTTCTTAACCTAGATCTGATTTGTTTACGCTCTTCATCATGTTCAGAACCTGATGGGACGAGTTTGCGAGAATCCATCAGTGTGACAGACCTTGAAGAAATCCACTGGTTCCTTGTAACTCTGTGGTTTAAGTCACTAATAGATGTCACTGCTGTTTCCACAGCTGATTGTATGCCCTTCCAAGCAACATCTGGGTCAGCCTCGTCTTCACAACTACCTAAGTGTGACCTCAGTTGTTCCTGGAACCTACTTTTGGTTTTCTCGTTACTCAACTCAGTTCTAATGGGTCTTTTTAATGTGGCTTTTTTGCGTCCAGTGAGGCGCAAGCAGATGCGTGCCCGTATTAGGGCATGGTCGGAGTCCAAGCAGGTACTCCAGAATGAGCGACAATCTTCTACCGACCCTCTCCAACGATGACTGATGGCAATATGGTCTATTTGAGTCCATCGTTGGTTTGGTGTAGGGGGTCGCCATGTTAGACGATGTCTCTCCTTATGCTTAAAATTTGTGTTTGCTAAAAATAAACGATTGTCTGAGCATAGCTGCAGCAGACGATCACCATTATCTGTTCGCTGTGTCGGAATACTAAAATATCCACCTAAATGCCTTTCTGTTTGGTTTAAACTGCCTATCTGAGCATTAAAATCACCTGCTACGAGTACTATGTCTGAGCGTTTAGCTTTCTGAAGAAGTTCGGACAGCTTTCTGTAAAATTCATCTTTCACTTCATCTGAGCTGCAGTCAGTGGGAGCGTAGGCAGAAACGACAAAAAGGCAACGACGTGTGTCCCTATCCTTCCGAGTTCTTACGTAGCCGTTCAGCCGAACAGCACATAGACGACTGTTGACGGGGATCCACTCTAGCAGTGCTTGTTCGGCCCTCATGCTTAGTGCTATGCCTACACCTGCCAGTCCACGAGAACTTGCCATCGGGTCACCAGACACACGAAGGGTGTATCTCGTTGGCTCTCCGTCTTGCCGAGGTGAGGTCAAGTGAATGACCACACTGGAATCCTGTATGCGTGTTTCGGAGACACAGCATACATCAATGGAAAGAGACTCTAGGGTTTTAGCCAAGGAAGCCTGCTGACCGATTTGACATAGGGTGCGTACGTTGAAGGCTCCAATGTGTAGTTTGGAGCGAGGTTTCAGTAGACCTGGGACAGTGTTTTGCGCACTAGAATCGTTGGCTGTGGTGACACTTGAGGTGGAAGCCGAAAGAGGAAATTTAGAGTTGAAAGTCGATGTAGGAGGAATAATAGGAATTGAAGAGGAGGTTGATTATGAATACAGTGGTCTTGAGTGCTGTTAGAAGTATGAGGGCGGTTATCACTTCCCGGTTGCCCACACCGTGGAAGGGTTGTTCTGGAGGTACCTGAAAAGGAAATTGGATTAGAGGTGGTCTTAGTGACCTGAGAGCGTGACCGCAGTGCCCAAGGGACAACTGCTTGAGGTCGGTCACACACGACCTTGTTATGGGTAATTTTTGTGTTAGCTCCGTACTTATTGAGACCTTACCGCCGGAGACGGATATCCGTGGGATAAGGCGAGGTGTGCATTTTTAGGGTCGACCTTTTCTAACCCCACCCCTCCTTGTGGGAAGGCAGCATCGCTGTCATGCTGGTTGTCTGAAGGAAACACCTTACTGCTGTCACACCTCTGTACAGTCAGCAGTACGACTTCGCCTTCGGACCTTGGGTTTGTTGCTTTTAGTCTTACCGCTCTTCAACCGACCTGTCTGACATGGTAGGACCTTGAGGAACGGTTGTTCCAGCCAGTATAGCTCGGTTGCTTCATCACGATAGGCAAGCCCGACCACCACGTCAAGGTAGCAACAACGGTCGGGAACCGAACAGTGACTCGAGAACGTTTAGATACAGTCGAATTTCCACCAAAGACGAGCCGCTGTATAAGTATAAAAGAGGGTGAATAATGTGGTAAATAATAATAATAGTAATAATAATCATTTGATTGTTAGTTGAAGCAAGTAAAGTAGGTTCCATAATTATAGGCAGTTCATCATATTTGTGTATGGGCTGAAATACTGCCCGGGTGCCCAAACCGAAGCAGGTGGTTTTCTTAGGAGGCCAGGCCACACCCCGAGCCTTTGACCTAAAGGTCTAACCCACAAGGCAGTGGAGCATCGTGAGGAGATGCAGTCCCATGGTAGCCGGTGACCAAGGAATTGGTTCATACGCTATTTGTTCCCGCAGGATACTGGAGCCCATGTGCATCATTGGTTTGGGATCCGGTTAAAGCGCCGGACATTCGCTTTTCGTCCTCTCATTTTCGTAAACAACACCCCCGCCACGAGAAGGCAGTGAGTAGGACTTCCCTGGCAGAAACTGTATACGCGTGGTCGTGTGATGGTATTTCGAGAGGGAGGGCGAACCCACCCCACTCTCGTCCATACCAGGGCATTTGGGGGCGTAGAAATAAACCCATGTTCTAGTTAGACCAGTCACGTGTTCTTCATTCGAGTTTTGTTGAAGTCCTGTAGAATAGACTGTGGCAGGGTATCTAGTGTAGATATTCGTCTAAGGGAAGTTAGTTTTCCATTGGCGTAAGGGAGGAAACCGAATGTTATTTCAAAAGGTTATGAGGAATGTAAAACGAGGGGATGCAGCAGGTTCAGACAAATCAGCCTCAAAAATCTTTGAGTGTAGTTGTCAAGTTTTAGCAGTTAGATTGATTAAAATCTTAGCTGACTTTCGGGGACTGGATGTAATCCCATTTCACTGGTGTCGATGGCCGATCGTTGCGGTTTATAAAAAAGGATAAAACTACTCTTGTGATAACCACAGAGAAATCAGTTCGACTAACAGTGTTGAAATATCAGTTTCAAGGCTAATCCGATGCCTGAGCCCTAGTGGGTTGGTGTCTGACGAGATTTTGACACGGATTCAGAGAGCCCGGTTGGCTTTTGCTAACTTGTGTCACTCGTAGAGTAAGTGAGATATCCGTTTACATACCAAAGGACGAGTTTACTATGCAGCAGTTCTATCCATCCTACTTTGTGGGTATGGAACATAGCCATCATGAATAGAGGATATTCGTAGGTTGCCAGTACTCGGTCATAGGTTTCCTTGCAGCATTGTTCTTTTATGTTGGAAAACCACTGAGTGTGTAGTGGGGAAGTTAGACATAAGGCAAACACAGAGTAAGGATGGCAAGTCGATTAATGAGATGGCCAATGTCCATCGGTTGATGTTGTTGAAGCATGTATTATCTATGCCCATCCACCACCTACCTCGACGCTCAATGATAGCTCGTGTAGGGTTAAACTGATAAGAATCTAGGGGCAGTCAGATCAAGCCACGTCATCAGTCCTTGAAAACTCTGACTATCGGACTGAGCTATGCAATTAGATGAAGACTATCTGGTTGGGGTCCATGTGATTATCGTGACCAATAGTTAGACCAGGTGACATGGTTTAAAATCGGTCGCAATAGAGCACGTGCATTCACTCATTTTCTTGCCTTAGATCCCAAGTTTCTAAATTCGTCGTAAATTCCTTTTCCAACAATTTACATTCTCTGGAAACGTATCTTCGATATCTAATCTTTTCTCCTACCACTTATAATGTTTTTACCTCTTCTACTCTGGGTTTCGTTTTATCAATTTCATTTTACTGTGCTAATGAGATATGGCAACTTGAATCAATGTACATGTTTTCCAGGTTGTACTTGCATTCGACTGAGTACAGTTTTATCATCAACAACTTTTTAAATTAACAGACACACTAGTTATTGTAAAAATCATGATGTATTCATATGGCTTCAACTTATCACTAAATGTCTATGTTCTGTCAGTTTCTGGTATGTGTTACTCAGAGATTCGAGCAACCAACATTTAATATATATGTGACTAAATTTCATCTTATAAGAAGTCAATCATTTAGCATATTTTAGTTTGGTAATCAATTTAAACTGCCACTTTGCATTTTTTTTCAAGAAGTTAGTATAGAATAAACTGGAGTTTTATATATGCCCTTTCAGCTCGTATTGAACGACGGACTGATAATAATAGAACTATAACTATCTAAATAAACTTATTGTAACATACAGTTATATTAAGATATGGTTAAATGAGATCAGGTACTTCCTTTATATCAATTACCTAAGCAATTGCATACAAAAGTCAATTTAAAATGATAATAAGGTAATACCTGCTCCCATAATTTAACTTTGATGATATTATTACGTTAAATAAAAGCGCTTTATTCAGTTCTATTTATTGACAGTAAAGAGCTGTATTACAACGCTTACTCAGACATATAACTTTAAAAACAGCAATCATACTCCAACATTTGACAAATTTTAAAAACTTATACTAATCACTTCAGTTCCATTAAAATGAAAAGCCAAGAAATCAGTACGCTTTTTCTTAATGTCTCTAAGATATTGTCACCAAAGTAGCCCACATTTTAAAACAACATACCACTCACTAGCTGAAAATACTCGAAATCATAAGTCAGTAATCTGAACGGCTGGCTCTCAGCCATGGAGTCGCTTTATCTGGCTCCCAGGCTAATACTAGTATATGACTGTTCCTCAGTTTTGGGTGCCCTTATTTTATGCAGTGCTTGAAGAAATTCAACTGGTACTCAAATTATCGATTAACCTGTAAAAGATATTTGTTGTCTACCGATATATATTTAGTGAACCTTTTGATGATCGTATATAAAATTCTGATTTCATGTCTTCAACTGAGTGTTAGATAAAATTTTTCGTTTTTTCTTCTGTACAATGTATATATGGTAAAATTCCTTTTCTTAACCTCCAGAATGTCAGATGTTCCATTAGATGCCCCATCTCCCTGCCCTGGTACACAAAGTGATCTAGCCGGGAAAGCCTCAGCATGTGAAGGTTGCCCTAATCAATCTTTGTGTTCAAGTGGACAAGCCAAACTTCCTCTTTCTCAACGTGAACCAGATACGATTCTCTCTATAAAACGACGTCTTGGTTCAATTCACCACAGAATTATTATTCTATCTGGCAAGGGTGGAGTTGGGAAAAGTAGTCTTTCAGTTTGTCTAGCTAGGGGACTAAGCAGGCGTGAACGCAGTCAAGCGAATGGTTGCAATGAAACTTATCGTATTGGACTACTTGATCTTGATTTTTGCGGCCCTTCCATTCCATGTATGTTCGGTTGCATGGATGAAAAGGTATCCCTTGTTGCTGTGTGCTTGTCTAATTAATTTAACAAATATCGTTTTCTAGCCCATTTATTTAAATTCTTAAAGTTTCGCTCAAACTTTAGTTATTACCAATGTTTTATTGATGGAACTCTTCCTCTTATTTAATTTAATTATCGTAAACCTTTATAATCACTTGTTCGATTTACTTCTGTTATGATAATTTGCAAGTATCTCTCTTAAACATACTTCATAAAAGAACATACTACTCTTAGTAATCTAAACAGAAAGATTCAGTCTCTAAACAAGTATAATATTGATCTTCAGTCAAGAATTTTTTCCGCCGTATAGATAAAATATAACTATCGGTTGATCTACATAGGTTTATTTCTAACGACAATTACACCAAGCGAATTTGGATCAAACAAAATATGGAGAAGTAAACAAAAATATATTTGGATGCTTACGACTAGTAGCTCATTCCATTCACTTTCAACCTCATTCAAATATCACCGTTATTCTCTAATCCAGTTAAGTAATAATCCAACAGTTTAAATTCTTAACTTTCAACATGTAATGTTTTAGGTTCTTGTTTCGCTAAAACTACCGGTGTTCAGACAAGCACGTTTACTGCTATTCCTCACAATTAATATTTAGAAAATTAGCCAGCACATTTCCGTTTCCTATCACCTCCAATCTACGCTAGTAGTTTGTTAACAGTGACTAGCTAATCTAATAGTAAAGTAGACGATAGTCACTTATGCACAACATACATCCTGGGAACATTCATGTATCGCGTTCAAGTAAGTCACAAATCAGAACTATGCTATATCAGAATAGTGTAGGAAATAACAGTATTAGTGGCAGTAGGAAGGATTAGATATCGAAGATACGTTTCGAGAGAATGTAAATTGTTGGAAAAGGAATTTACGACGAATTTAGAAACTTGGGATCTAAGGCAAGAAAATGAGTGAATGCATGTGCTCTATTGCGACTGATTCCAAGCCATGTCACCTCAATTATGTTTGTGTTTACATATTACCAGTAAAAACGAAAACCCAAGTTGACGATAACAAACTAAAGTTAGCTCTTGTGAAAACATATGACGTAAATTTAGTTTCAGTTATGTTTAAAGAATACTAAGAAATTATAATTGCTCACACTTAATAGAAACAAGTAATTCCTTTACAGTCCTTTTGTTAATAATATGTATGGTTTATGGCGAGGCTTCTGGTTCGTATATCACAAAGGTGGGTTAATTTATTACTAAGTGTTCAAGAAAATCTATTTCCACAGAATATTCAACTTAAATTGAATCATTCAGATTTATCAACCTAGTGAGGATTGGAAGTTATGTAATGTGTGAATTGTCTCGATTCACTGGTTCCGTTAGTGTTAACCAACCCATCTGTCATTTCAGTATTTGTCATTTGCACTACCCATGTTATCAGTTGGCTTTCAAAGTGCATACATTTAATTATTCTTGAAAAGCATTTTGAATGAAAAGTTTCATTTCAGGTACACCAAAGCCAATCTGGTTGGTCTCCTGTCTTTGTGACAGAAAATCTTTGTTTGATGTCTATGGGGTTTTTGCTGCCCAGTCCTGACCACCCAGTCATATGGCGTGGCCCTCGCAAAAACACATTGATTCGCCAGTTCCTCACTGACGTCGCGTGGACCGAAGAAGATAGTAATCTAGACCAAGGAACTAATTTGGACTTTTTAATCATAGACACTCCTCCAGGGACATCTGATGAACATCTCTCAGTTGTTCAGTATCTTCAGGCTGCTGAGTGTTTAGACGGGGCGATAATTATCACTACACCTCAGGAAGTATCTCTGTGTGACGTAAGAAAGGTAGGTTTCTGCCCTTTGATGTGACTTTTTCTCTTTAATGTCCCAATCACACCACCAAGTTGTAAGAAAAGTATGGATACATAAAAATGTCTTTGAACCTAACCGCGTAACAAATAATACATTATTATGTCACCTATTGTTATCCCCTCTTCATTTTTCCTGCCACTGCAAATCCAAGAAATTATTTCTCCCAATATTTTGTTTCGTTTATTTTATCACTTACTAGCAAATTGTAATGGCTTATGAGTCGAGAAATACTAATGAAGAATATAACAATTGGGCTGTTTGTTTTATAAATGATACAAATCGTCTGTTTTGGCAGGTTACACATAAGCTTTGAAGTAAAATAATTGAAGGTTCTATTAGCACAATTTGTTGAACTTAATTTGGTTGTTTCATTACTATTCCCTTTATGATAGTGTAAGTGTTGATTAAACAATAGTATTTTAATCCTATATCGTCGCATAACTTTCTTAAAATTCTGAATATCTAACATTCACCTGGCTCAGTGTTTTCAACTCATAAAAATCGGATCAATGGTCTATGTATTCTGTAATTACATCTCAACTAGTCATCATGTAAACAGTTTTTTATAGGTGATAAGCAGTTTTAGAAACTTTATTCACAATCTGATTGAATATAAGTCTCCCTCTCATACTCATTACATTAAAACTAGTGTTTGCGTGTTGAGCACTTATGTAGACAGTGAACCTTATCCAACTAATTAGATGCGGCACTTTTATCGTGCCAAGCTTTTACGTCTTAATTAGATAAATAATGAGATCCAATAGAACTACTCTCATTTTCAGTTCACGGAACTTTTATAAGATATTTTTTACCTTCCAAATTATTCAGATTGAGCACTTTTATCTAAGAACATTGATCAGTTCTACTGGAGGAAAAAGCATGTCCAAGATGCATTCCATGGCTCTCCATGTAAATTTTTTGCCAACTAGTTTTCAGCTTTACTTCGACCATTAAGAATCTTTGACATAGTTCACACCCCTACTCAAATACTGACAAATAATACTCACGCTCATCCACTCGAACTAAATGGAGACTGTTTAAAGCTTTATTGAAGAGTTGATTAGACTTGTAACTTATTCATTTCTCACATCAAACAAAATATCATTCAACTACCGAATACGATTCAACACTCCACGTATTTCAACTACACTCAGCTTGAAATCCATCATAACCATCATTTAATGTTATTCTTAGGTAATGTCCATACTCCTGGTGTAATTAATTCCACTGGTCACTTAAAACGCATTAAAATCAGCATTGACTTTGTATTTAGTGGGTAAATCAATAATCCAATACACCTATTTTTCATATTCACTGACGTGTCCTGCCACTGGTAAACCTTGCTGAATAAATTTTGTATGCATCAATTTTGCAAAGTGAATTACGTATCTAGAGATTCTTTAACATTTTATCCTAGTTATTTCATTCTAATTCTGATTGTTTGATGTGAATTCCCAAGATATTCTCAAAAGGCCTATCATATAGTAAACTTGATCTCAGTTCAGAAGTAACTAACTAACCCGACCGTTGTTGCTACCTTGACGTGGTGGTCGGGCTTGCCTATCGTGATGAAGCAACCGAGCTATACTGGCTGGAACAACCGTTCCTCAAGGTCCTACCATGTCAGACAGGTCGGTTGAAGAGCGGTAAGACTAAAAGCAACAAACCCAAGGTCCGAAGGCGAAGTCGTACTGCTGACTGTACAGAGGTGTGACAGCAGTAAGGTGTTTCCTTCAGACAACCAGCATGACAGCGATGCTGCCTTCCCACAAGAAGGGGTGGGGTTAGAAAAGGTCGACCCTAAAAATGCACACCTCGCCTTATCCCACGGATATCCGTCTCCGGCGGTAAGGTCTCAATAAGTACGGAGCTAACACAAAAATTACCCATAACAAGGTCGTGTGTGACCGACCTCAAGCAGTTGTCCCTTGGGCACTGCGGTCACGCTCCCAGGTCACTAAGACCACCTCTAATCCAATTTCCTTTTCAGGTACCTCCAGAAGAACCCTTCCACGGTGTGGGCAACCGGGAAGTGATAACCGCCCTCATACTTCTAACAGCACTCAAGACCACTGTATTCATAATCAACCTCCGTCTTCAATTCCTATTATTCCTCCTACATCGACTTTCAACTCTAAACTTCCTCTTTCGGCTTCCACCTCAAGTGTCACCACAGCCAACGATTCTAGTGCGCAAAACACTGTCCCAGGTCTACTGAAACCTCGCTCCAAACTACACATTGGAGCCTTCAACGTACGCACCCTATGTCAAATCGGTCAGCAGGCTTCCTTGGCTAAAACCCTAGAGTCTCTTTCCATTGATGTATGCTGTGTCTCCGAAACACGCATACAGGATCCCAGTGTGGTCATTCACTTGACCTCACCTCGGCAAGACGGAGAGCCAACGAGATACACCCTTCGTGTGTCTGGTGACCCGATGGCAAGTTCTCGTGGACTGGCAGGTGTAGGCATAGCACTAAGCATGAGGGCCGAACAAGCACTGCTAGAGTGGATCCCCGTCAACAGTCGTCTATGTGCTGTTCGGCTGAACGGCTACGTAAGAACTCGGAAGGATAGGGACACACGTCGTTGCCTTTTTGTCGTTTCTGCCTACGCTCCCACTGACTGCAGCTCAGATGAAGTGAAAGATGAATTTTACAGAAAGCTGTCCGAACTTCTTCAGAAAGCTAAACGCTCAGACATAGTACTCGTAGGGGGTGACTTTAATGCTCAGATAGGCAGTTTAAACCAAACAGAAAGGCATTTAGGTGGATATTTTAGTATTCCGACACAGCGAACAGATAATGGTGATCGTCTGCTGCAGCTATGCTCAGACAATCGTTTATTTTTAGCAAACACAAATTTTAAGCATAAGGAGAGACATCGTCTAACATGGCGACCCCCTACACCAAACCAACGATGGACTCAAATAGACCATATTGCCATCAGTCATCGTTGGAGAGGGTCGGTAGAAGATTGTCGCTCATTCTGGAGTACCTGCTTGGACTCCGACCATGCCCTAACACGGGTACGCATCTGCTTGCGCCTCACTGGACGCAAAAAACGACCGTGAGCAGTGGTGGGCAACGAAAGCAAAAGAGATGGAAAAGGCGGCGACTATAGGGAACACAAGACAGCTCTACAGACTAGTAAAAGAAACTGGAACTATTAAGTCAAGTGTAAGTGAGATTATTTCGGAAAAAGATGATAGAACGATGGGCGGAACATTTCAGAGAACAGTTCAGCTGGCCTTCAGCTACTCTACAACTACCCTCCATTCCCAGACAGTGTGAATGGAACATTGAAGTAGGTCCTCCAACTCTACCAGACGTCCAAGAGGCTATAGCTAATCTGAAACGAGGAAGGGCAGCTGGTCCAGATGGACTGGCTCCAGAAGTCTTTAAGGATGGTGGTCCAATTTTAGCGATTAGGTTGACTAATATTTTAGCTAAGATCTGGGAGTTAGACGTTATTCCATCTGACTGGTCACAATCACTTATCGTCCCAATATATAAGAGAGGGGCAAAATCATCCTGTGACAACCATAGAGGGATTAGTTTAACAAACATAGTATCTAAAATACTGGCCTCGATAATTATCAAACGCCTAACTAAGACTCGTGAACTACAAACACGAGAGAACCAAGCTGGCTTTCGACCTGGTCGTGGCTGCATCGACCACATATTCACCATTCGTCAGGTTCTAGAACACAGGCATACCTGTCGGCGTCCGACGATGGTGGTCTTTCTTGACTTAAAGGTATCATTTGACTCTGTATACCGCGAGATTCTGTGGCATTGTCTGTCATTGAAAGGCGTACCCCAGAAGTACATAAACCTTGTGAAGGCTCTTTACTCGAACACTACTAGTCGAGTCAGAGCTTATGGCGAACTGTCATCTACTTTTGCAACCTCAAGTGGTGTCCGTCAAGGCTGTCCACTTTCCCCATTTTTGTTTAACTTCATCATAGACCTATTGATGGAAATAACATTCTCGTCGACTGAATTCTCGGGTATTGATCTCCTACCAGGAGGTCCACTTATCGACTTAGAATACGCAGATGACAGTCCTGTTTGGTGAAGACGCTGACAAAATGCAGAGTCTTCTGGTAGCACTGAGCAACGATACCAGGATGTTTGGGATGCGTTTCTCCCAATCTAAATGCAAGTTGTTGCTTCAGGACTGGTCTGCGTCAACACCTGAACTAAGGATAGGGAGTGAAGTGGTCGAACGCGTTGACAACTTCACTTATCTTGGAAGTCTGATCAGCCATAACGGATTGGTGTTTGACGAAATCTCTGCACGGGCTCGGGAAGCTCGTTTGGCCAACTTACGTCACCTATAGAGAAGGCGAGATATCCGTCCATCAATTAAGGGACGAGTATACTGTTCGGCAGTTCGTTCCGTTCTACTTTACGGCTGCCAAACGTGGCCACTAAGAGCAGAATATACTCGTAGGCTACTAGTATTTGACCACAGATGCCTTAGAGATATTGCTGGCATCTGCTGAGATCATCGGGTAAGTAATAGTGAGGTTAGAAGTAGGGTATTAGGGAATGGTGGTAAATCAGTTGATGAGGCTGTCAATCTTCATCGACTGAGATGGTTGGGCCACGTGTTACGTATGCCCGAACACCGATTACCACGACGTGTAATGCTAACCGGTGTTGGAAATGGTTGGAAGAAAGTTAGGGGCGGCCAAACCAAAACGTGGCATCAGTGCTTGAAGTCACTAACTTCTAGTCTGAGACATGTTGGGAGATGCAGACTACTTGGTTGGGGTACGCGCGACTATCGTAACCAATTGTTGGACACTCTGGGTGACATGGCTCAGAATCGATCACAATGGCGTAGGTGTATACACTCTCTGTCTTCCCTTAAACTATGAGATTAAAATCGCTCTATATCCTTCTTTCTACCAACTAATTCTTTCTTTCTGTACTATATCCTTATATGCAACCTTTCTTTTATATA